TACGTATAGAAGCTACGTATACATAGGTAGGTACTCGTACACGTGCACATATTACAACTGTGACTCATAAGGAACAATTGCCTAATAATTACTTAATATGACCTACCTGTATCAATAAGGCTGTGTGCTCTCTTTTTAATAGAGCTTGATAGGTTTTTACCGTTTATGAAAAGTGTCTGTGTAATTTGTTATAATTGATGTATTATTTTGTCTTCTATACTTATAATAAATCTGTAGAGAGGTCAATTCTGTACTTGAAATATATTTTCAAAATAACTATCAGGGTGTGATTAGTGATCGATACTGATGCCAAAAATGCAATCAGTAAAATTTTTGTCTGTCTGTCTGTCTGTCTGTCTGTCTGTATGTTCCTTATAGAAACAAAAACTACTTGACGGATTTTAACGAAACTTGGTACAATTCCTTATAGAAACAAAAACTACTTGACGGATTTTAACGAAACTTGGTACAATTATTCTTCATACTCCTGGGCAGGTTATAGTATACTTAGGAATTCCCACGGGAACAGGAATTAGCGGGAAAATTCTTTTGTATGAAAAATCTAAACCGCTTAAGTTAGACGCTTGAAATTTGGCATGTAGGTACCTTAGTAAACTAAAAGCTTAGTTACAACAAGGAATTCCCGAAATTCCCACGGGAAAGGGAATTAGCGGGAAAATCTTTTTGTATGAAAAATCTAAACCGCTTAAGTTAGACGCTTGAAATTTGGTATGTAGGTACCTTAGTAAACTTAGAACTTAGTTACAACAAGGAATTCCAGAAATTCTCACGAGAACGGGAGTTAGCGGGAAAAAACATTTGTATGAAAAAATCTAAACCGCGTAATTTAGACGCTTGAAATTTCGCATGCAGGTACCTACCTTAGTAAACTTAAAGCTTAGTCACAACAGGATATTGCAAAATTCCCACGGGAACGGGAGTTAACGGGAAAAAACATTTGTATGACAAAATCTGAACTGCGTAAGATAGATGAAGGGGGTAAAATGAGATCCACGCGTACGAAGTCGCGGGCAGCCGCTAGTGTTAAATAAAATTGTTATTATTTCAATTAAAATTTTTTCAATTTGATACCTTAACTGAATTGAAAACAAATAGAATAATTTGTCGATCATAAAAATACAATCATATTATATTTCCCAATGAGTGAGTTTTCAACATAAGAGTTTTCAACATAAAACGACAAGCATAAATCTACACGTAGGAATCAATTAAACTATCAGATTACTATGGATTCAAGTTAGAATTTTGCTTCATAATGAAGCTTAAGCAAACAAAAGACAAAATGATGCCGTTTTCTTAAGCTGGGTTGCACCATCTTACTTTGGAAAACGTCAAAAATCTGCCAAACTGCATACAATATACACCAGCCACGGTTAAAATAAGGTGGTGCAACTCGGCCTTATCTTCAAAAAGATTTCTGTTTCCAGCGGATTATAATGACCGTGGCAAATGTCTAGTTGAATACTTTCCGGAAACTGTGACTTATGACGAATGCCTCTACCGAGTAGACGGGCAGGTCCTATGTCAAGCGTAAGTCAAGCGGAATTAAGGATTAGCGAGCGTTTCCGGGAAGTCCAGATCAGGCTTGTGTACTTCGGGTGTATGACACGTGCTTTCAGGAATTACGCGTGTTCCAGGATAAACGCTGTGGGCGATGTTTATTGGGGGGATTCTTGAGGGTATTTAAGAGTATTTGGCAATCGCACTGGAGTTACGTTCTAAAGGAAGAATTTATTCTGAGGGAAAATGGTAACGTGACGTGAATATGAGGATCCTCAAGTTGAAGCTAATTGTTTGATGCTGATATGTTTCTATCATAAGTAATTTTTGTTGAAATTTAAAATTGGATAATAGTTTTATTAAACTTAAAAAACTGACACACCTGAAATTATGACCAGAGAGTCAGATTCTGTCATAATCCTCACTTTGGACGGTGAGTTAACTAACTCACTCAAAGTGAGGAGAAATATAAGTTAAAACAGATACACTGATTCAAAACCCCCGATGATACGAATATACATTTCCGACAAAGAATACAGTATAACAAAAACAAAAGCCTGCTGTGTTCTGTAATTTGCAAAAAGCAAATTTTATTTTTAATTGAACAAGCTAGCAGCGTAAACAAACAACCGGCCGCAAATACCTATCTGCCTACGCTATGCAACCGGCGACACAGCCAGGCATTAGGTATTCAATACTGTGTGTTATATGAGTCCCATCGCAGGCCGGTAGTAGGTCCAGTTATTTACGATACATTCGCTGGACAAACGTCCGAGAGCGATAGTAGAGCTAGGTTTACACTGAAGCAGTCAGCACTAATTGGACACAAACATTAACTGGATTGGACACAAACAGAAATTATTAAAGTTTGGCGACGATGACGTATTTTCAATAAAACTACTTTTTAATTTTTCAGCTACATTGGAGCCTCCCCGGTGTGGTTTGATGAATAAATTATTTGGCGGTTCTGCGCTGCTTCACCATACAAAATGGTCTGTCATGTAAGTATTGCACTATTACCTACCTTATGAATGTTATAAAATAAATTTAAAACTAACTATATTTCGGCAAATTCCACTTACTGGCTGAGTTGCATCATCTTACTCTAACTTTGACAAAAACGTCAAAAATCTGTCAAAGTCCATACAAAAAGCACCAACTATTGTTATTGTTACGGTTAAAATAAGGTGGTGCAACTCAACCTTAGCCTAACTTGAACTTATCGTACACTCAGTAATTCGGCTGCTACAGTACCTCACTTTTATTAATGTTTCAGACTCACGAACACCAAATAAACCTGATAACTGACAGAAAGCTGAAACCAGCCAGTGAGGGGACTACAATAGATATAAAAGTATGCTAATTAAAACACTGAAAAAGTCAGGAATATTGTAATTACATTATAACAACTGTCTACAGTATTTTTGCGCACGAGTTATGCATAGCTTATTTTTATTGCTTTAACTAGACATAAGAATAACAACAAAACATTGTTCTGAATTTGTTTTATGTGTAAAAAATAGAAAAATTCATATCAACGAATGTATGAATGAAACATAGACATAGAGATGATTTAATTTGTTGCCAATTTTTTTTCTTTCATTCTTTCTAATGATTAAAAGATACCAAACATCCATTTAAGATTAAGTTTTAAAATAGAGTCCAAATATTTATTAAAAATGAAAAGTTCTACTTTCTATCATGTTCCATAGCAGATTTTTCTCATAAAAACCTTACTCTATCATGCTTTCAGTACTGGCCTTGGTAACGTCGTCTCTCAACTGGGTTGTCGTAACTAAAGTTACAGCCTTAGCGTTAGACTTGAGCGGCCATGAGCATATGACATGGCTTGATTGCCCCGACTACGATAGATCTATCCTGCCTTTTAAATAACGTAAAGATTTTTCGGACAATAAGGTTAATTTAAGGCTGAATTACGTACACTAGGTGGACCAATGATCTGGTGAAGGACGCTGGAAGAACCTGGATGCGGGAAGCGTAGGACCGGTCGTTATGAAAATCCTTGGGGAAGACCTTTGTCAGTAGACGTCATTTGGCTGAAACGAACGAATGAAATCTGAATACCTAACCANGCTAACCAAACTGGGAACAAAAAAAATTAAACGAGTGTTGAACACTTTAAATTGTAATTTAGTATGGAAACGTTATTTTAAACCAGTGTTCAACGCGCGTTTAACTATTTTGTAATAATTATGGTCAATAATGTACTATCTTTATCAGTTTGCTCTAAAACCAGCTGTGTGACATAAGCTCAATTTCACATCTCGCGTGCATTGCCAACGTCACATACTCCAGCGAGGTACCGACATGTCGTTTCAATTTAATTACAACTCTGCCTGCAAAGGCATAGGTTTCCTTATTAGAACTTCAGGCAGGATTTCCTAATGAGAAATTCAAGGAATACACATCTCGGAATGAGGAGAGCGAGCGATTCAAAATAAAATTACGTAAGGTCTATTTTCTTTACACTCGCTCCATTTCACACTAAATGGTTTGAAGCTTACGACTTTTCTCTGTATTTTGATTTTAATAAGTTGTTGACATTTCTATACTAGGTCTAGAGCAGGTTCTAATCTCTTAAATTCTAACAGAAGTAACATAAATCATATTAATTTTCAATTACCATAAGTTACAAAGAAAACTTGAGCAGAATTACCAATTGTTTGATGAGATTATCTCAAAAAACCATAATAAAGATAATGAATTCAATGGAAAATAAACAGTTGTTTAGAAAGAACATTCGGGGCAGGCATGTAGACATTATCCGTATAAATAATTTATAAAATCTCCTAATGAAATGAGTTGCGGACCACCGTGAGGGATGAAATGAAAAAGAAAAAGTATGAAAAAGTGAACAGAGCGGTGAGGTTTATGCAAATTTTACGCGAAATTTTTTAACTTGGCAACTCTGTGTACTTATTTGAGAACAACAAGGGCCAAGTCGACGTTATTCTGTTTGCCGATGTTGCCGAATTTGAATAGAATAATCCGAAGATAATAAAGTTGTGGCGAGATCGCATCTATTCGCGTTTATGATATCGTATTATTAACGAGCTTTGAATTCTCGCAACGGCCAATATACTGTAACAAGCTTATACAGGTTTGGCTGGTCAATATTTGACAATGAGCGAAATTTCGTGCACGATTCTTGCTTCATCCAATTATAGAATAATTACTTACCATAATTTAAAATCTCAGAGTAGGTACCCTAGCAGTCAAGAAAATGTTATTTAGGGTAGGATTTTGCTGTATAAATAATTTTAAAGTACAGAATAGTTCTCGCATTATGTTCTGTTTCATCCTACATAGCTCATGTTGAGTGGTTGCCATTTTGGTACAAACATTTTATTACTAACTGTTCTAATGAACCACTTTTTTTTCTTTCTTCTTTGTTTTCTTTCTTATTTTCTTTTTTTTTCTTTCATTCCTCTTTCTTTCTCTTTTTCTTTCTTTCTTACCGTGTTTCCCGGTGTTGGCTGCCGCGAGCGCGGCGCTAAGTATGAGGAGCCGCATCAGCATGCTCCCTCCTCCGTCGCACGCCGCGCATCGAGCCGAAGGCGCGTGGGGCACTGCTAATACTGAAACGAAATAATACACTTTTAATATGAAACAATTCCAAGAATACAAGGTTATTTTTAGTACTATATACGAAACCTTAAAACTATTTGTTCAGAATCAGTAATAGAATCCATCGCAATATTTTTTATATCATGTTACATTTTTACTAAATAATATTTACAAATCCATAATTTACGGACACCCCGCATCTTTCTCCCGCGCTGCGTTGCGAAATTGTTGATAGTGATTGTGGATAGAAATTATTGTAAATAGTGGTGATTTTATTTGTAATGTGATGTAAAATGTTTTCAAAGCTTAACAAACATTGTGTTGTCAACAACGAAAGTGCCGCGCGCTGTACGATGTCTCAAAAAAAGCTTGGTACCTACTTACTTCGTGACTTTTCAAGGTATCATTTTTTTTTATACTGATTCCAAAAATTAAAATACGTGACACGTGTTTCGGCTTTCGTATATACAAAAAATAATGTTGTATAAAACAAGATATGATTAGATACGATACGTTTGAACAAAAGTTTCTTTTTACTTCCAATTCTTGGCCTAAAACAAGACTTTAAAAAAAAATACGAACTTTCATTGTAAACTTTCATCCTCTTTTAGGGTAAAAAGGGGATTTCAGGTATGATATTGAAAAAAAAACCTTCTTTATTCCACGCTCCACGTTCTAAGAACAATATCTCCCTGAGAAAACACACTTTTCTAGATTTCAGGGTTTCTTTTTATTGAAACAGATTATTATAAATCCGTATTTAAATGCTTGTGCTCATCATACTGATATTGCTAGCGGAATCTGAATCCGTATCTGTAAAAACAAACCTTAAACGAACGACCATATTCATATCGTCTATACTTTCTATACTTCTATACTAATATTATAAATGCGAAAGTAACTCTGTCTGTCTTGTTTTCACGCCTAAATCACTGAACCGATTTTGATGAAATTTGGCATAGAGATAGTTTGAGTCCCGGGAAAGGACATAGGATAGTTTTTATCCCGGTTTTTGAAACAGGGACGCGCGTAATAATGTTTTTCTGTGACACAAAATTCCACGCGGGCGAAGCCGCCGGCGGAAAGCTAGTGTAACATAAACTAAATCAATATCTTATGTAAGGTTTTAATGATCAATTATTAATAACGATAAGATTTCGTTTTATCCATGCTATAATGTATCAATCCTTTAATTAGAAATTATTGGAGGCTTTTGTACCATTAATTATTATGGACGTAGGTATACCGATATCGTAAATGTATGATATCTAACTTCCGATGATTAATATGTGCGTAGTGTTTGATGTATTGGTAGGTTCTGTTCTTAGGCTGAAAGCTCTTTGAGATATTGAACAGTGAGCATGCAATTTAGACATTATTCGCTTTGCATGTATGTGTTTTTAATTTAGTTGTGCTCTATCGTCGTATTACGTGATTCGTTTGTAGTACCTAACTACCTGACTGAAGTAAAATATTTTTGTCAGATTAAAAATTGGTTATAAGTAATATTATGTAAAAGAAAAAAGATATAATTCACATTAGGTCATATCAATGTCGATTCAGGCCAATTACATATTTAGAGTAGGCATACCTCACACGGTTTCGTAATTCTACACGATTCGAAGAAATGTAATTTAAATATTTAGTAGAACTAATTTACTTGAGTTTATCCTTTACACTCTGCAAATAACTTATTCAAAACTCATTATCGCGTTTGTTTTTAAAGAGGATTGTAACGAATTTAAATTCAAAGCAATTTATTACAAACCGCATGAAAGCTAAGCAGAAAACCTATTTAATACCACGAGACAGCTGTTAATAAATTTGCACAACTTAATTTGTGAAATCGTAAAACTGTGGCCAACTGGAACGGGAAACAAGTGGCTATAAGAGTTTTGGTTTTTAAATAAAATATAATTCCATCGTCGGGCGGGAGAGCGGTTTGAATAACAACTCTTTAATTGAAAGTTTAGCAATTTGCTCGTACCCTGAGTTCTGAATGGACCCCAAGGCGCGGGGCAACTCATCCGCCGTTTCAAAATTGAATGTAGGCAGATGTGCTTAATTACGCTCCCAGATGCCGGCCGCCGCTTATCTCGAGATGAACCTCCACCTCAGCCCACGATATTTGCCTAAGACGTGCTCCAACGACTTTTTTCAACCCCCAATCCAAGTAATTATAAAGCAAATCGTGGATTAAGTAATTAGAAGACGCGGTTGAATCTTATATCTAATATTCTTACTAGTAGCATTGTAGGTAAGTACGCTTAACTTTTATGAAACAGTTTTTGGCTGAGTTCGCTAATTCGAATACCTAAAGCGTTAAAACTGTATCTTCTCACTGTGGCAGGATGTTGAGAGATTAAACCAAACACGTATTATTTTTGTAAAACTGCTTAAATGTTTCAGAGTGGAATGGTCTCTGTAAATATTTTGCGAAATAAGTTGCTCATACTTGAGTGCATTAGGACGCTTGAGCAATTAAATATCACACCAGAGTCATTGCACTCGTGTAAAGTAACTCTGAATACAAAAGGTCATTCACAAGCCAGTGCTCCATTGTTCACATTTGGGCCCTCATTATTTGTGCTGTCAGAGTCACCTGCTCGGATGCACCTTTAGAACTACGCAACTATGGCCATGATTTATTCGTTTGCACATTAAACCTAGAGCTGTACAACGCACGTACAGCTTTTCACTTGCAGACAATATTGTTTCTCGAGTTACGTAAAACAAGCTTAGCAGAAACCGTCGTGGTTCTCGGGAGTCCGTCGTAAATTTGATCTCCGACACGAGTGACACGACACATGATCACCAGCTTGCGATGGCTACTTCGATACTATGAATTTCTAACGAATTTAACTCAAAAAATTGTCAAGTGTGAATGTGATTAATATGCGAAGAAAGTAATTTAGCATCTTTTTGAATAATTAATCACCTCGGTATAAGTCTCTTGGCAGTCTTAATTCATGTTTTTCAAGTTTGACAAGTACAATCCAAGGTGTCTGTACACTTACGTGTAAAATATTAGTGCTTTTAATTAAAATATTCTCTGCTTTTGTTCCCAAGGACGACAGAGATATTATCATCTCGAAGCATTAAGAAACAATTTGAACATTAACGAGCAAGGTTAACGTTTGACTCCATGTAATGCCAAGTTAACGCCGACTCAGTATTGAACAAATTAGGCTTCATATTTCATCATTAAAGTCTCCAAATTAATATGCCAGACGTAGGTAGGTAGATATCTTGATTTCGTCGATATTAAATTTAACTTTTCTGTAACACGCGAGTTAACGTCGATAGAATCGATCTTTGCCATGTAAGACTGGGCTTGAGTTTTCCAATAATGTCCGTTAAGTACCCTCGATTCGGAGATATGAGTTGTAGGCAAATAGAGCGATTTCCCTCAGTATGTCTTATAGGGGACGACTTCTCTTTCTATGATCTGAGGGGACGACCCACGACGCGAAGTTTAAACTCGTTATAGCCATAACGACCTGATTCATGATGATAATACATGTTACTAGTACACTGTACCTACAAAATGTAATAAGTCCAATTTCACCAATAAACGAGTTTTAAACAAACTTAGGTTTAGAACTGTGATATGAAAGAAAGAAAGAAAGAAAAAAGTACCTACATAAAGTTTGTGAAACTAGGTATTAATAAAATCACTTTCAGTCTCGTACAAAATTGTATTTACTCTTTCATACTCGTAATTTACTAGAGTGAGATGGAATAATAATATCAAAATGGCGCAGTGGAAAAACACCGTATATTGTAAGAGAATCGCATGAATTTATAATAATTTTCTTTCAAATTCAATCCGAGCCGAAAAGGGACTCGTCCCTACGTGTGTCACGCGAGTGAATCAAACTTCCCTTTACATTTTATCTTACTGCAAGGGCGGTCGGTTACGCCATTCGCCCTACTTGATTTAGTTTTGATGGCGGAAGGGGACCGCTCAAAGGCATAGCTCAAAAACAACAGTTTTGCTACCATATTTACGGGTGCAATTGTTTAGCTTACTAATAAGTTACTTATAACTTATCGTAATAAGTTTATAAATAAAATTATATCACGGTCTTCTTGTCTATTAGAACAACAGAAGGATCTTTGACTGCTTTATAAAATGCCAGAAAAATCAAAATGCTGAAATAAGATGTAATTTTAAAAACTCCTGTTCTATGAATCTTATTAGTGAGTGTCCAAAGATATTTGTGGTATTTTAATTATAACATAACCTAAAGTTGAACCAAGTTAATTACGACGATGCTTGTGAAAGCTAAAATTAATTGTCACTTCGTTTCGTTTTAAATAGCCACTTGTAATGCCATATTTTCAGCAACAATTTAGTTGGCTGTTTAGCTCGAGCTGTGACTTATACAAATGATTCAGATCGTGCAACGATTCAGGCGTTTGCAACAATGTACAGTTTATCGGCTCCCGGGGGTTTGTCAGATTTGATGCATCGGTTATGAGAGTAATGAAATGGATTTTAAGGGGCGGGTAAGTGGATTAGATGTTCGCAGATGTGATGAAGTAAGGTACCTACTTGTGGGTTTTTAAGTCATTGTAAGCGTTTGGACGTTTTTAATTCCAATTTCAACAAAATTTAATTAAATAATATTTTCGTTAGAGAGATGGTCTAAGAGTAAACTTTAAATAAGAATAATGCAGCAGTTTTGTTAAAAATATTTCAATACTGAAAAAATATTAAAATGGTTGTGTCGCTGATCTGGAACTTAGATATTTTCCATCAGGCGAGATGAAATAACAATAACGTTATTAAAAAAAATATACATTTCTTCTTCGGTACAATTACCTATCTCCTCAGTGTGTAAACTAAAATTTCTAATCAAAACGTTAATTTGAAGCTTCAAATGACATATAATATTATTGCGATGATCAAAACGTTCAATAAGGATTCTTGCCAAGAGCAATTAATAGCTGTAAGGCACGTTCACACTGCTTTTAAACCATTTCAAAATTACAAAATTCCTACCTA